TATGAACCTTCCGACGTTGCCCAATGGCAATGGATAATACCTGAATTTTCTGTACAACCTGTGAATATTTTTCCTCCCATTACTAAGTGGATCCTGTTCTCAAGTTGATCCAAAGTATCTTAAAATTTCAAGGAAGATCATACACAAAAGTACACATATTCATGATGGACTGAAAAAGGTATGAATGTATGTATAGGAATTTTGATGTATAATATATTTTTATAATTTCAAGTAGCCACAACAAGATAGTAAAATTACTAATATTTAATTTCAACCAAGATATTTATGTTTCCATTTAGCATTGGTTACGAAAAATTCGAGTTCTCGACTCTATGAAAAACAAAAATCCACTTGAATCAAATCGCGGAATAAAATTTTTTTGGCAGGCTTCTCAATAAGAAATGTTCCTATTCCCCCTCTGTCGTTGAAAAAGTAAAAAAAAAATGTGCCATTGCTAAGACAAAGCGCCAAGATTAAGGTTGTCGTATTTTCATACCGTAGAGACTGTTTTGGTAACGTTTAGTGTACGATTTGACCTAAGTAAATTATTACTTTTTCTATGAGTGAGTAGTTTGAATTTATGCATCGGAGGACGTAAATATAGTAAGGACGTATAGTAAAGGAGTCACCCTCAGTACTTCTCGTTGTACAACTCGCGTTCTCTGTAAAACGAATATCATGATGCTTAAATTGTCCAGTGGTACATTGAACGTCTGTGACGGGTGCTGCGCAAAAGGTTTGGAGACTTAAACGCACGGTAAAGAAAGTAAGCGCAATTCCAAAGCTAGTTTCGAGGATAGCGTTCCAACTTAGGCTCATTGTTTTTCTCAGTAACATTGTTATGATTATTGCGAAGTGTTTATAATACCGTTTTTATGAATTACTTGCAGTAGTTTTCGTTGGGCAAATCGAGTTCTACGTGAACTTAGGATGAGGAAACATACACCATGATGGACATAATGAATACGATATACGTCATATATTTTTCAATTATTCAGTTAAAATGTTCTGGTTAGGGCTGTAGGGGGAAAAATTTTATGAAGGTCCCAACCTCTCAACCCCCCCCCCCGCCCCCCAGGGGGGTCATGGAGTGGAACAGCTCCCAAAACATCGACATTTTCAAATGGTAATCCCCCCTACTTGTGACACATTAAGTTACGGCGTATTGAGCATTTTGCCCATCCCAGTATCACGACACTGGAAAATAAAACACATTAGCTCTGGATTCCAGACTATTGAAAACATTGACAAGAAAAAAATACTCTTGATTCAATCAGATTTAAGCTTAAATCAAAAGGAAATCCGCTCAAATTAAGAGGCTTGGTTCTTGATTTAAGCTTAAATCTGATTGAATCCAGAGTATTTTTTCTTGTCGATGTTTTTAAGAGTCTGGACTCTAGATCCAATGTGTTTTTTCCTCAGTGTATGCTGAAATTCGCATCTTTTGTGCTGGTCCATTTTTCGTTAAAGTAAATATGATTTTGGGGGAGAATCTGGCAAAATTCGTGTGTCCATACGGCGTTTGTTTGTAAGCTAGCAGAGCTCCCCGTGGCCGTGGCTGGCAGCTCGCCCGCTGAGAAGGGTCAAAAGCCACTCGGATGTTCGACGTCGGAGGATTGGGCGACAAGCAATCCATCAGACGTGTCAGCGCCTCTAATTACGATTCTTCGTCTTGTCACTGGCCGCGGCCCTACCGGGCATCCGATACGCAGGTGACTAATTACACGCTAGGATCCGCCGCGCCGAGCGGAAACCACGCATCTCCGCGAGGATGCAGTTGTTAGATAAGAGGTTTTGCCGCGGGAGGAGCGGAGATGATAGCGCGCGGAAGGAGGTTCCGGGGGCGCCGCCCCGGAACGCCAGATCGAGATAGACACGCGCTAAGCGCCGACAAACGCCCACGCCGACCGTGGGTGGCCTCATTGTCCTGCAACGCTGCTGTGCTGGCGAAGAACACTGTATGAACCTTCAGACGTTGCTAAAATTCCTTTCATGAGGGGTGAATTTTCAGGAAATCTATGGATATTTTTTTTTTCAAAGTTTTCACTGAATTTTATTCGCAATCAGATCTAAATCATCTGAAAATTTCAAGAGAAAATACTCATGACTCTCCTCAAAAATGAACATTTGTCGAAGGCAATTTGGCAAGTCTCGAATTTTTATACGGCGTTCTCCCTTCGCAAAATGGGCCCATGACTTGTTTCTTGTCCCGCTAAAGACAGCAGTATTAGCAACAGTGAAGAATCAAGAACCCCTCTTTCCGAGTTTCCACGGCAAATATTAGAAGCTAAAACCTCCGTTATCATAATATTATACTAGCAATAATCATCAATCAGTGATGTTCACTGATATGATTGGATCGTATCTTTCACTGTATTGTGTGCTGGACTTGATGACATCGATAGTTGCAATAAGGCACTTTTCTGGAAAGAGACTTCAACGCTGGAGTAGGAACACTGTCGCAAACTTTCTTTTGTCCAGATTTTTCACTGAACTGTATTTAGTCACTCTTTCGGTTACCAATGCATAAACACGTTCATCGCACTTTACAGTCATCACTACAATAATTAGCTCGTTCAATAATTTTTTATTCTCGCCTTTGTGGAAGACATGAAGTGCCTAGAATTCAATGAAAATTCCTCCGATTTATTTTCATAAATGGACGTATTTCTGCCCAACGGAACTGTATGCATTATGATGTGAGCCCTGTTATGTATATCGTCACCTTCCAGGCAAAGTATCACAAGCGCCATGCGACGTTTAAAAATTTCCGCCGCCATTTTATTTCTTTACTGAGAAATTGTTCGTTGAATCTGTTTGGAAATTTCACTAAATTTTATCGGCAGCACAAAGAAAATTCAGTGAAATTTTCGGACAGCTTCGTTGAACAATTTCTCCGTAAAAAAATAAAATGGCGGCGGAAATTTTTAACGTCGCATGGCGCTTGTGATACTTTGCCTGGAAGGTGACGATATATTCTTATGGGTCTCAGGGCTCATGTCTTAATGCGAATAGTTCCGTTTGGCAGAAATACGTCCAAATATTTACGAATGAAAGAAAAGTTCAAAGCTGTGAATTTTGAGCTTCCGTTTAAATTAATATCGCCTGGAGAACCAAGATGGTGTCCAAAAATATCCCTCTCGCAACGAGCACACTCTCGAGCGCCCTCTGCGCGGACGAATTTCTCACTACGCATCGCGGAAAATGCAGCTGAATTGTGTGCGTAGTAGCGTGAGAACGTCACCGCGCGTAACTAGCTGTGCAGCCCAAGTGGGAGCGAGGTTGCCAGGTTCTGCGGTAAAACACGGAGATTATCCATGGGTCTAAATGTGATCAAAGCGCACAATCTGGCAACAACGAGTGGAATCAAAACAAACGAAGACCAAGAGACGAGCAAACCGGAGGCATTATTAAGATGTTAGAATTGTGGCGGGGCATTTAAATTCAGGGAGCGAGTTGCAAAACGCCCGAGCTACTGCGCAGCGCGAACGAATCGATCCGAAATGCGAGAACTCATGAGCCCTGGGTTCCACCATTTAAAATGTGTATCGTGGCTCACGAGTTCTGGGACGCGTGTCCTTTGTGCGTGTCGCGATTCAAATGCCTCGGTGGCGCGGGGCCAGGGAAAAAAGGAGCAAAAGCTAATGATGACGTATCTCGGGCAGCGGTGATTTCTAAACGGACTCCTTGCTCGATATACATGAAAATAATTGTTAGGCCGCCGGACATTCTTTCAAGAATATGAACAAGGAGTGAAATCGGCATCGGCGGTAAAACGTAAGGCCGGACTAGTTGCCCCGCAACAATAAACACTTCATCATTTATCTCTTGCGTCTTTTCTAACGTTCCAGCGCTATTTTCACTTTTGAAAGTCCATAGCAAGCCCGGGGTCGCGGGGGAGAAGGAAATGTTCAGGGTTTTTCGCAGTGGCGTGCCGTGCTTTGCGATATATCGATGAATCTGCCATTTAAACCTTTGAAAAAGGATCGATAAATATCGAGAAATTTGCCTCACACTATGCAGAAAATTTACTGAGATTTGCACAAAAATTTACACAACCGTTTTCATGTAAAAAAGTAAATCGCCCATTAATTTGGCAATAGCCGATGTACCTTAAACCCTTTCTGCTTGACGCGGTTCATTTGTCATTCTAGCCTCTCGATTCACCACCACAAAAAAATAACAAATACGGAAGAAGACATTTTAGCAGTTTTGTAAATAGGGGTACTCACTTACTCAGGTTACCACTTGGATCGCATTCAGCAAAATGGAACTAGCGCAATTACAGTGTTTTCAAAATTGTGCAACGTCTTCTTTCTCTTAGAAATACTTCATGATGAAAACAGTTTCGAAATTTACGCGATTATTTTCCTTAAAAATTAACAATTTTTTGTGGTAAGCAAAAACTACTTGCTATTCTGGAAGATTTGTAGATAATTCTGAAGAAGCAACATTTTTACAACACTGTGATTGCGCTGGTCCCTTTTTGCTAGATGTGACTCAGTTATAATCATTGGTACCTCAATTTTTCTAAAACTGCACTCATTCCATTTGTCTTTCTTGCCCCTCACCCTCAATGCACCACCACAAAAAATAAAAAACACATAAGATTTTATGTATCCTCTTTTGTAAATAGAGTTACTCAGGTCGCTACTTAAAACTCGGTAGCATTTTCTCACCGTGCAGTACTTAAGCCAATCGTGATCATCTCGATGCAGGCGGATGAGCCGCAAAAAATCAACATGAAGCTCACCGATTGCTCGAAAAAAACCAGCTTATTTCCGGAGTTTTTTCCTGGTTCTTCCACGGACTATCCCCGCTTTGCACAATGACATAATCATTATTTAGCCATTTAAACGGGAGCAACAGACCGCGGGCATTTTCCTCGGCAACATGAAAAATAATCCGAGCTCTTTCGGCTACCGGTTGTTCGTTTTAAATTGCTCCGTCTTAAAAATTATGGCGAGTGCTTTTAAAGGCATTGTTTCTGCTTGTTCCAGGTGACATTATTATGTGTGTGTTGCGTGCAATGGATTTACGTCGGAGCCGAGGAAACTTCCACTTTGTGGTCACCGCTCGGCACTCGAGGCTATGAAGAAGTAAGTACGTATCCGTAGCTGCATGTTTCGTGTATTTTTTTTCAACTCACTTTTTTTTATCATTTAAACAGACGTCATAAAACAGAGGGAATCTCATCAAGAGGGGGTTTTAAAACAAATAACGTATAATCCATTGAAATACATAAACAGATAAAACGATTTAAAACTGCGATATGTGTGATCCTATGGCTAGATTGATTACATTTTAAATTTAGGTATTACAATTTTTGGCTCAGTTTAGGAACAACATGTGTACGATTAGTTTTCTTATGCAGAAGTGTTTTTAAAAGGGAGTCAAAAATGTCGATCCTAATTGGAAAATTAAGTCCAAATGAAACAAAGCGGATCTCCTCTGTAACGTTCCAAAATCTTCAGCATGCTTAATTTTTTCGAAAGAATTCTTTCCAAAGAATCTACTTGAAATTTCCAATGAATATCTTTGGATGAGTGAAGGAAGTTCACATTAATTTAAAAAAAATAACTACAGATGGTCCTCTTTATGAAAAAAGAAGGAAAATATGCAACGTTGCAATCGTAAATAAGCAGCGTTCAACTTCAGCCGTAAAATAAACTCTTTAAAGTCCAAACACCGTCCATATTCATTTCAGCTAAAAAATAAATACAATGTATTAAAAATAACGTAAACTTTTATGTTAGTATTCAATCATGAAAGTAACGATTAACATGTATCGCCATAGGTGCGAAGCGCCTCTGGTAGTTGGACCAACAAACGGTCAGGGGGCGTAGTCCTGCTTCGTACAGTGATAATTTAAAAAAGCTGTAGATCGTTCGGATGCGAAAGACATTTTTCTTAAAACGTCTTTTGAATTTTGAAGATGTTTTTAAATCTCAAGTTATGAGCTCAAATGTATAATTTTTCATCCACTTCTCGCACATCATAGATGCTCAGATGTAAATATTTCAAATTAATAAGCATTCCACATAAGACTGGCACATCGTAACTCATCAAGTCACCACCGGTATTTTTCAAATCGCACCCGGTCTAACAACTGCAGGACGTGCTTGTACACATATTTTGAAAGAAATTATTCCTAGCTGCGAATCGCAAGTAAAATACTCATCCATGAGGAGGCGATCATTGCGTAATAAATTCGATTCCGCGTTCTTAAAAGTCTAATCATTCTCCAGCTCGTTTAAACCGTCCTGGCTCCAAGCAATTAAACGTCACTAGAGTTCCTGCTAGGGTTCACCTAGCCTAGTTACCCTATTCAAACTAGAGCTGACGTAACCAGCTGTTAAAGTGACACCGGTGTCGAACTTCTTTGTAAATGCTGTGATGGGACTCGAAACGATAGTGAGGTGTACTGCCGAGCTAAGGAAGAACGCCATATGAGCCCATAGGCGTTGCAAAATGTATTTTTATAAGATGTTAATTTTCAAGGAAAGTTATAATTATTTTTTTTTCTTGAGATTTTCAAATTTTTGTAGATTAAATTTCGGATGGCATTCCCGGGAAAATTGAGGGATAAAAATATTGATGGGTTTCCCAAAAAATTTGAATTGTATCGAAGGAGGCTCATATAACGTTTTTCCTTAAGATGGCAGTATAATTGAACGGATTAAAGCGAAATCAGCTTAACTACAGGGATTTTTGCCTAATTTCCTATCACATTTTATTTTTACAACAGAAAACGAATGCGCGTAGCGTCAATTATCTTATTGTGGGCTTACCCGCCTGATGGCTGCCAACATATCCAACCGGCGGCCCTCCTTTGAGTGTAAAGGTTGGCTCTTTTTCGGATATTTGGACTTGTTTGGAAAAAATGAAGTATTACAAGAAGTCCGCAACGTCGCAAAGCGAGATACGTGGTTTCGCACTTGGGCCATCGATACGGGAGCGCCGAGGCATCAGCATTACCCATTGCGTCACTCGAGTACGGACAGTCATGAAATTGAGGGACTTCCTGAACAGTGCCGTTTTCTGGACTGACCGTTCACGGCTCTTTGCTTTATGGCCTTTTGCACGACTCAGCGTGACACGTCGTTGCGTTTATTTGCAAGGTGTGTGTCCTCTCAAAAGTATCGCTGGGGAACTGTGAGCTGCACCTAACTTGGTCACGTTACTTAACGCGTTGATGTACGTAAGATAGTACGAGGATTTAAAATTGGCTTAGCTATTGAATAGAAGGAAATTAAGAATTTTTAAAAGCATGCCTCTGACTAACGTGTGAAAATTTAAAAATCTCACCATTTATTTTAGTTTTATTTTTCTGCCTTTTTTGTATGCACGGGGGTTCACCATCAAAATAAGCCTTTTGTTCATAAATTCAACATTGTTCGTTTGTATTTGAGAGAAAGGTTAAGGAAATCAAAAGTCCGACATGGAAAGCTAAAAATGTAAATTCATTAAGGTGAGATTGTAGTTCGAAAATTGAATTTTCTAGCATTTCTCTCTTGTATTTTTGTCTAATTTTACATATTCTCCGGAGTATTTTGGTGCATAACAGTTTAGTGTTTGTAAATTTAATTATGGAGATATCAGCATTTGTGTGTGGAAAATCATGAGCGAAAAATGCCGACAAAAAAATAAAATATGCCAATCCCGGTCCAATTATCACTAGCTTTACGCAAAAATTAAACGGTAGAACAATGAAACTTCTGTGGAGAATACCTATTAGGCTACAAGAATCAAAAAGTAGTCAGATATAAACAAAGAAATCAATAAGTTTAACTGTCTTCTTAAATTTCATTTAAAATTATTGTAAATTATCTGAAAAAGTAGTTGTGTTTTTAACTTTTAAGTTGCTGCAACGCAGCGTTTCCTCCTGCTCCTCTTTTTCGTCATTAGGCTCTCATTTTTAAAAACTCGTCGCGGAATGTTTTGGATGCGTAATTAATAAGAGTAAGTTTCCGAATCAAACTGGTTCAGCCGTTTTTTCCTTGTCAAGAGAAAGAGAAATTACAGATTCTAGAGCATGATTCTGTTACATTTTCGATTCTTCGCCCATGATTTTTATTTCTAATAACGGGTTCTTTTGTAAGAAACTAAAGGTTAAGAGTTGAATTGCTAATATCGCTCCCATTCGTGAGGGATTAAGTCTCACTTCGAGGAAGGAAATTGATCATTGATTGGGTATCACACATCCGTGACAGGATGTTTTTTCTCTCCTTCTGTTTCGACGTCTGTATTAAGAAAAGGTCAGGTGCAAATAAGCGCGTTCGATTATTAGTAATTTACATCTTTAGGTGTATTCTCTCGAAGAAGATTCGATGCGACTTAGCAAAACAGTGTAAAAAATATCTGACAGCAGCACCTTCCCCCAATCCACGCAGAAAAAGAAAGAAATTAATGGGAGACTCTTGAGAAGTTGTCCTGGTGTTGGAAATTAGTGTGACCCCATTCGAAACGTTTTATCTATAAACTTGAATCAGGATCCGATAGGTTGTTTTGCTGAGAGTCCTTTCCCCCTTATCACCGGGCAGTCTGGGGGGAGGGGGGGTATGGCATTCCTGCCAGTTCAAAAAGGGGCGTCCATTTGAAAATGTTGGAATTTTGACTCAGTTTGGACGCATTTTGAGCCTCCCATGACTCAAATTTTCCATTTCTTTTTGCAAGAGAATTACATTTCTGAAAATCAATTGGATACATTTTTCCTTTAGGAACTACAATGGCTGGTTCAGTTTAGAAACAATACATGTACCATGGCCTTCCTATGCATGAACGTGTTCATACAGAACTACGGATGGGTTAGATATTACATTATTGTAGTTCCTGATTGCAAAATCTAGTCCAATTTCACTATTTAGTGAATACAACACAGTGAATCTTTCGTAAATGTCACGTTCCCCTGGTAAAAATTGGCAGTAGAATCTGTGTTCCAAAACACAATAGACCTACAGCCGGCTGTAAGATTTCCAATAGCTTCTATAGCCGGCTACACAATTTCTTATAGCCTTTTATAGCCGATGGCGATTAAGCAACAGCAAGGCGATAAAGTGTATGCTAAACTTTACTAATTACGGATGCTAGGACTTAGTGAGTTTTTGGAATATTGCTCTCTTTTTGGGCCGTAGTATCTTGATTTATTTTGCGAGGAAAGCTCCGTACTTTTGATGGATGCCTGCCATTACTAATATATTACAGCGACTTCAGTTTCGTATGATACTGTGCAATACCTCTGGTGTGAAATAGTTGCTTCAAGCGCCGTGGTACGCTACGGCGCAGCGCGGCGGATGGGCGGAGAGCGCAAAACGCGCATTGGCGCCTACAAACCTAACAGGGATACTTCACGCGTTGCGCAATGCGTGAAGTATCCCTGTTAGGTTTGTAGGCGCCAATGCGCCGTGGCACGCTGCGGCGCGGCAGGCGGGCAGCCAGCGCGAAACGCGCATTGGCACCTACAAACCTAACAGGGATACTTCACGCGTTGTGCAATGCGTGAAATATCCCTATTAGGTTTGTGGGCGCCAGTGCGTCTCCGCTTTGTGTTAGGTCTGGCTGAGTCAGCGTTATTCAACTCATGATTTTGAAATGTATGCACATCCTGTATGGATTGAACGCATTTTAATTGATGAAAAGAAATATGTATGAAAGGAAAATATAATGAGTGTTTTGTACATATTAAGGTGGTTCCGTATCAAACTTAATGATTTCCAAAACACACGAATTTCTACACAATTTCTTATAGCTTTTTATAATCGATGGCAAAAAAGCAACATCCAGCGATAAAGTGTAAAGCCCGGCGATAGGAACTACAGCCCGGCTGCATAATTTTTTATCGCTTCGTACGGCCCGGCCGTATGATTTGCTCCGCATTCTACCGCCAGTTATATGATTTTCTGTAGCCCTCATTAGCCGGCTATAAGAATTCCTATGGTATTTTGAAACGCAGCTCTTATCGCCAATTTTTACCAGGGTCTGCGGGAAAAAATGGGAAGATGCCAATTTACTCCTTAAATTTGACGGTTAGACATCTTTATAAGGGCCACTGCGACAGAGACCTACCCTTCACGCAATTTTTACCAAAATCCAGAATTCC